TAGTCACCCTATAGGCCTGTCTATTGTTTGGCTAGAAGCCATGGGAATTCAATTCCAGGTCTGAAGGGTAACTAGGATCCATAGTCTCACCAGGCTCTACCATACCAGTAACCCTGGTCTTTTTTATGATTCTGAGTTTTGTTCCACATCATTCTTCCACTCTGTCCAGGATCTCCCACACTGATCCCTTTCCGAGTGGTTGACAGTAGTACCTGGGCGCTATCTAGTTCTTCTGGTCTCATGGTCATACAGGCTGACATTTACATGTCCCACTAGTCCCTTGGGCTAATTGTTCCACACATATTTGGTTTCCTTCATTTCTCTTTATGTTGAACATCTTTTCATGTGCTTATCTGCTATCCATATGTCTTATAACCACTACTCGTCTGCCAATTTGTTGTACTGTGGTGGCTTGTGTGTTGCTATGAGGCTGGAGACTATGCCACCAGTATTTCAAATACCAGCAGGTTCACCCATGGTGGGCAGGTTTCAGCAGAGCTTCCAGACTAAGATAGACTCAGAAGAAGGAAGGAGCCATCCACTTCTCAAAGAATTGCCCAGTGAAAACCTTATGAATAGCAGTGAAACCCTGTCTGATATATTACTGGAAAACTTCATGAATAGCCTTGAAACATTGTCTGATACAGTGCTGGAAGGTGAGCCCCTCAGGTCCGAAGGCACTCAAAATACGACTGGGGAAGAACTGGTTCCTCAAAGTAGAGTCAGCCTTAATGATGTGGATGGAGTAAAGCTTTTGGCACCTCTATTTGCCAATGTGGCACTACTCAAAATGGGAAGAAACAGCTGCAAACATCCATTAGTAATCAGAACATGGAATGTATGAAGTATGAATGTAGGAAAATTGGGAGTGGTCAAAAATGAAGTAGAATGCATAAGGATTGATATTGTAGGCGTTGGTGAGCTGAAATGGACTGGTTTTGGCCATTTTGAATCAGACAACCATATGATCTGCTATGCCGGGAATGACAAAGAGGAATGGCACGGCATTCATCATCACAAAAAATGTTTCAAAATCTATCCTGAAGTAAAATGCTGTCAGTGATAGGATAATATCCATATGCCTACAAGGAAGACCAGTCAATATTCAAATTTATGCACCAACCACCAAAGCCAGAAGTGAGGAAAATGAAGAGTTTTACCAACTTCTGCAGTCTGAAATTGACCAAACGTGCAATCAATATGTATTGATTATTACTGGTGATTGGAATGCAAAAGTTGGAAACAAAGAAGAATCATTGGTAGCTGGAAAATATGGCCTTGGTGATAGAAATGACGCCAGAGATCACATAGAATTTTGCAAGACCAGCAACTTACTCACTGCAAAAAAAAAAAAAAAAAAAAATTTTACGTGACATAAGCAGTGACTGTACATGTGAACCTCACCAGGTGGAATACACAAGGAATCACATCAGCTACTTCTGTGGAAAGAGGTAATGGAAAAGCTCAATATCGTCTGTCAAAACAAGACCAGGTCCTGACTGTGGAACAGACCATCAACTGCTTATATGCAAAATCATATGAAGACAGTTGAAACAAGTCCACAAGAGCCAAAATATGACCTTGATTATATCCCGCCTGAATTTAGAGGGCATCTGAAGAATAGATTTGACACACTGAATACTGCTGTTGTTGTTGTTTTGTGCCGTCGAGTTGGACCTGACTCATAGCGACCCCTCCATGGGTTTCCGAGGCAGTATCACTACGGAAGTAGATTGCCCAACCTTCCTAGTGACTGAAAACCAGACAAATTGTGGGATGACATCGGAAACATCATACATGAAGAAAACAGAATGTCATTAAAAAGAAAAGACCAAAGTGGATGTCAGAAGAGACTCTGAAACTTGTTCTTGAACAGAGAGTAGCTAAAGCAAATGGAAGAAAATGACAAGATAAAAGAACTGAACAGAAGATTTCAAAGAGCAGCTTGAGAAGACAGTCAATTATTATAGTGAAATGTGCTAAGAACTGGAGTTAGAAAACCAAAAGGGAAGAACATGCTCAGCATTTCTCAAACTGAAAGGACTGAAGAAAAAATTCAAGCCTTGAGTTGTAATATTGAAAGATTTTATGGGTAAAATATTGAATAATGCAGGAAACATTAAAAGAAGATGGAAGGAATACACTGAGTTACTTTACCAAAAAGAATTGGTCAATGTTCGTCTATTTCAGGAGGTGGCATATGATCCAGAACCAATGGTATTGAAGGAAGACATCGAAGCTGCACTGAAGGAACTGGAGAAAAACAAGGCTCTAGGAATTGTCAGATGTTTCAACAAACAGATGCATTACAGGTTCCAGAAATGCAACCTGTAAATAGACCGGGGGCTGTCATTAGAATAGAACAAGGGGATACTGCGTGGTTTAAAGTAAGGAAGGAGTGTGTCAGGGTTGTATCCTTTCACCATACTTATTCAATCTGTATGCTGAGGAGATCATCCAAGAAGCTTGACTGTATGAAGAAAAATGCAGCATCAGGATTGGAGGAAGACTCATTAACAACCTGTGATATGCAGATGATGCAACCTAGCTTGCTGAAGATGACTTGAAGCACTTACTGATGAAGATTAAAGACTATAGTCTGCAGTATGGATTACACCTCAACATAAAGAAAATGAAAGTCCTTCCAACTGGACCAAAAAAACAGCACGATAAATGGAGAAAAGATTGGAGTTGTCAAAGATTTCATATCACTTGGTTCCACAATCAACTCTCATGGAAGAAGCAGTCAAGAAATCAGACAACGTATTGCACTGGGCAAATCAGCTGCAAAAGACCTCTTTCAAGTTCTGAAGAGCAAAGATGTCTCTTTGAAGACTAAGGTGTGCCTAACCCAAGTCATGGTATTTTCAATAGTCTCATATGCATGTGAAAGCTGGACAATGAACAAAGAAGACCAAAGAAGAGTTGATGCTTTTGAGCTGTGGTGTTGGTGAAGAAAACTGGAATTACCATGGACTGCCAAAAGAGCTAACAAATATATTCTGAAAGAAGTACAGCTGAATGCTCCTTGGAAGTGAGAATGGCCAGACTTCATCTTACCTACTTTGGTCATGTTGTCAGTAGGGACCATTCCCTGGAGAATGATATCATTCTTGGTAAAGTGGAGGGTCAGCAAAAAAGGCGAGGCCCTTAAAAAGATGGATTGACAAAATGGCTGCACCGATGGGCTCAATATAGCAAGGATTGTGAGGATGGTGCAGGACTAGGCAGTTTTACATTCTGTTGTGCACAGGGTTGCTGTGAGTCAGAGCTGACTCAATGGCACCTAACAATAACAACAACATATAAGAATCTATTATAATATGTGAGTGACCGATACGGCAGCATTGAGGATGAGAAAGACATAGAGAGGTACATGGGAGGTACAGACAAATATGAACCCTTTTGCACATACAGAACTTCATTGTCAGTGAAGGCAAACATGGGTATATGGGTGGATAGATGGGTGGACAGGCTGACCGAGTAGGTATGTCTATGAAATGGGGAGTGTGTCCAAGAACATATATAGGGTTGGCAGACAATGGTCCTATAAGTTTATGTGAATGATCAGAATTCCCAGGTGTATAGTAGAGCTGACAAGGGGCAAGTTGTGGTCACTGCTTGGTCACAGCTACCCAGAGGGACCAAGTAGTTGAACCTGTGGGCTTGGGACCATAGTCACAGGGGACATCAAGCTCAATTGGCATAACATACTATACAAAACATTGTCCCACCTCCTACTTTGGCGAGTAACGAGTGGGATCTTAAAAGCTAGCAAGCTGCCATCTAGATGCAACGATGGGTCTCTCCTCATCCAGAGCAAAGAAGAAAGAAGAAAACCAAAATTCATGGAAACAATTAGTCCTAGTGACTGGTACACCATCCAATCTGCAGCCTATATGACTATGAGACCAGAAGACCTAAATGGTGCCTGGCTACCACTGTCATCCACTTGGAAGGGGATCTATGTAGGAGATCTTCGATGAAGAGGGAGAACAATGTGGAACAAAATTCAAAATCATTTGGAGAAAAAAAAAGGGGGGGGGGACCAGGTTTGCTGGTCCAATAGAGCCTGGTGGAACCACTGAGACTATGGTCCCTAACTGCCCTTCAGGTCTGGAATTGAACCCACACCTGTGGTTTCCAGCCAAACAAAAGACAGGCATATGAGTTGAACATTTACCTGAAGTAGATACTCTCCTTGGAGAGAACAATCATGGGAGAAAGAAGGGCTGCTTATGCACAGGGAGACAGCTCAGGGGGCAGGAGTCCATGGAGGGATGGACACAGGGAAGAGGTAACTATAGGGAGGAAGTGGGAGGGGAGCTCTTGCATTGTGGTAAACTGTGGTCAATGTCTCATGAGACAAAGTATATGTAAACTGCTGTATGGAAAGGGAATTTGCTCTGTAAATCTTCACCCAAATCACAATAAATAAAAAAAAAGAATCTATTATAATAGAACTCTAGTAATGTCTCCTAATTGTTCTTATTAGTTGCTATCAAATTGACATCAGTTCATGGCAACCTTATGTATAAGAGAGTGAAACATTGCCCAGACTTATCCCATCTTCATGATATTATCTCCTTAACAACCATTAACATAGACTGGTCCACCAATCAAAATCCTTCGTAATTTATAAAGTTTGATCACATCTCTTCTCAGCTGCCCTGACTAAAGAGCACTTGTTTTCATCTTCACCTTCTTCTCTTGACTCATGGAAGGTGGCCATTCATAGATGAATGGATGGATGGGGTGGATGTGATGGATAGATAAATGAAGTTGTCTTGGTGTCTCTTCTTTTCCTCCATTTTTCTATTTCTTTCTGTCTGTTGTAGGCACTGGCCCAGATTATGACCTAAGTAAAATTATGAATAAAAATCTCTGTGAAATTATGAATAAAAAACTCGATGACTGATATTTTTTCCTCTTGCCTACAGGTACCCAGACACCATGGCCCCAACCTCCAGACCTGACATTGGCAGGAAGTAGAAGACTCCCTTCTTTGTCTCCTCCACACCCCTGTCCTCACCATGTCTTCGACTCAGGGCAATGGGGAGCACTGGAAGTCCCTGGAGTCGGTAGGCATTAGCCGCAAAGAGCTGGCAATGGCCGAAGCCCTTCAGATGGAATATGATGCTCTGTCCAGGCTCCGGCATGATAAGGAGGAGAGCAGATCCAAGCAAAACACAGATTCCTCTCTCATCAACTGGGACGAACCTGTGCTAGACTTCTATAACAAGCCAGCTGGCAGGCTGAATGACCTCAAGCTCCTACGTGGTCTCTCTGGCTCTGATCCTACCCTCAATTACAACTCGCTCTCCCCACAGGAAGGGCTGCCCAACCACTCTACCTCCCAGGGCTCCCAGCCTGGCCCAGATCCCTGGCCCAAAGGCTCTCTGTCTGAAGGCTATCTCTATATTTTTAATGGTTCAGATGAGGAGCTGTGTCTGTCCCCAGGACCAGGAGACATGAATGGTTCTTCCAAGAAACTATCCCCACCTCCTCTGCCTCCCCGAGTGTCTATCTGGGACACCCCTCCTCTGCCTCCCAGAAAGGGGTCCCTCTCATCCTCCAAGATCTCTCAGCCCAATGACATCAACACTTTTTCTTTGGTAGAACAACCTCCAGGCAAATTGCTAGGGCATCAGATCCTAGAAGAAGAGCTGGGGGGTGGAGGTCGGGGACACCTACTGGGATCCATGGACTATGATGGTATCAATGATGCAATTACACGACTCAACTTAAAGTCAACCTATGATGCAGAGATGTTACGGGATGCCACCAGGGGCTGGAAAGAGGGCCGAGGACCCCTAGACCTCAGCAAGGAGACGCCTGGAAAACCCGTGGCTCGGAGCAAGACTATGCCGCCTCAGGTGCCCCCTCGCACCTATGCCTCCCGCTATGCCAACAGAAAGAATGCAGCACCTGGCAAGAACCGAAGGATTTCTGCTGCTCCGGTAGGGACCTCATTGTGCTGTTTCTCTGGTCTGCCTCATATCATTCAGAGACAAGGCCGAGTCTCTTCTTCCTTGCTATTCCAAACCCACATCCACTAAGTACCCATACGTTCAGTCTTCCCCTCTACTTCTGTCAAGGAGCCCTGGTGGTACAGTGGTTAAAGCACTTAGCTGCTAATCAAAAGGTAGGCAGTTGGGACCCATCAGGCAGTCACTCTATGGGAGAAAGAAGAGGAAGCCCACTTCCATAAAGATTTATAGCCTTGGAAACCCTATGGGGCAGTTCTACTCTATCCTTTAGGGTCACTGTGAGTCAGAATTGACTTGACAGCAACAGATTTTTTTTTTGAATGGGTGGGGTGGTGTTTCTATATCTGCCATGAGGACCGTCTACTCTGGTTGTGCGAGAGGCCCAAGGCAGATCTGTGGGAGGGAGGACGGAAGAGGACATAGCTTTTTTTCAAGGCCAAGTTCTGTGTCCCTTGGCTAAAATGGCCCTTCTGGGAATTGAAACCCTAGTTGTTCTTCAGCCTTTGCCCACTTCATGATCTAGAGGCTAAATTAGGAGTTAGGGGAATCATTACTGACGCTGTGGCTGAATGTTCTAGATAATTTGAGTGAGTTTCTTCCCATTTCTGAGTCCTTGCTCTGCCAAAAACACTGTGTGTCAATGAGGATCACTCATAGTGTTTGCCCCTGTTTAACGTTCACTGAATCCCTGACCCTGGTGCAGAACCCACAGGAACCCTGCCTGATGGCCGTTGTTAAACTGACCAAATGACTTGTCCAAACCCACATAACAAGATATGGCAGACTGTCAAGTGAATTTGCTCTGTAAATTTTCACCCAAATCACAATAAAAAAAAAGAAAAATGGCAGAGCCAACATTTAACCCTGCTCTGTCTTGTACCAATGTCCACCCTCTTTTCACAGGAAAAACTTTACTTTTATCAGTATGTAGTATAAGACAATATAATAGAAGCACTGAACAACATCCCAGGGCAGCTTTGATCGTTTTCCTGGTTTAAAAAAAGTGTCAGCGGTGTCCCATGAGTGGGGATCTGAAGACCTCTATGTGTTTCACCCTTGACCCCTGGAACCATGACCCAGAAGGAGTCAAGAGGCACCTCCATGGCTAATGACTCCTATGGCTACTTAGGTTCCAGTTTATACCATTCCTGCTTCCTCCTTATCTATTGTCTGAGGGACACTGGGGCTTTCCCACCTTGTGTCCAGCCTTGTGTTGAGATCCTTCCCAGTCCTTTGGAAAGAGCCACATAGCCCTTCCTTCCTTTGCTTCTGCTAAGAGAGGCCTCCCTAAAGCAGAATCAGCTTCTGGGATCAGCCACAAGCTCAGAGCTCAGAGCTTTTTAAAGGCCCCGCTCAGAGAGGTGGGGCTGCTCCCACTATTTATAGGGATCGGGAGAATCCTGTTCCTAGCTCTGAGTTCCTCTCACAGAGCCAGGCCTGCTCACTGGGTCAGGCTACTCTGGTAGGTGGTCACCTCTGTCATTCCCTCTCTCCTGCTTCCCCTCACTCCCCTACCCTTCCCCCAGTCCCTGTGTGTCATCAGTGTTCCCAGAGGGAGCTCCTTTCAGAGTCTCCTTGAAGAAGCTAGGGCAGAGCTACAAGCTCTTGCCCATTCTTAGGGGGAAATGCAGCCCTGGTCCTCTCCACCTCAGCTTGGTGCAGGGGCTCAGCCTGCTAGCAGGGGAGACCCATTGGGCCCTCGGCCCACACCACCACCCCGCCTTCGCCGGGCTTCCAGCCGGAGGGACCCTGTTTATCCTGGGCCTGCAGAGCCAGCTCTGGAAATGGCTGGCTCCAAATGCCACCCCGGTACCCCAGCTGCCAGCCTCTGCCCAGCAGACCCCCCCAGCCAGCATCGGGCGATGCCACCAGGGCCTGCCAGCCAGGCAAACGTAAGTGGCTTTTGTTTTCTTATGGTGCCAGTGAGTGGTACTGAAAGGGCATGGAAATGGCCTTCAGTAGCCACTCTGTTCTCTCTCTCTTGCTTTCCCCTCCTCCCTCCTCTTTCTCTCTCTCACTTTTGTGGGTTAAATGCTGACAGTGGTACTATTGTTTTGACTGGGACACAGGCATGAACTTGGCAGAGCCAGGGCCTCACATGCCAACTGCCCTGCTGCCACTCTCCCTTCCCGTCACCTCTGTGCACATGCAGGGAAGCAAGGTGAATGGGAAGGGGTCATCCAGAGAAAATAATCTGGATGCTCAGATGAGGAACTTGGTTGCTGCCATCTCCCCCAAGGGACAGGGAGGACTGAGAGTAGCAGGTGGGAGGGTGAGAGGTGAGGTGTTACAGTGTAGTCTCCCCTAGAAGCAGCTGTTGGACCCACTGCCTTCACCGGATGCAAGCTGGTGACTCCATCCAAGCTGCAGCTTCATCCCCTGCGTGGCCTCCCAGCCACCCTGAACAGCCTGCCAGGCAGAACCTGTCACGCCTCAGTTCTCCCCATCTGTTTCCTCTTGCCTAAGGCTAGGCTGTAGGCCTTGTTGGAGGCTTCTCTAGAACCCCTCATGGGTGACTGCAAACAGATCTGGGGTGGGAGTACCTTTGGAGTTTTGTCTGAGATAATTCCCACCACTGTACACATGTTCTCAGAGAGGAAGTGAGGCCAAGGCAGGTTTCCTGATATTCCAGCTGTTCAGAACCAGAGGACTCAGGAGCCTGGTGTTGCCAAGCCTTGTACCAGGTTCTTCCCTGCCCAGACAGCTGCCTTGACGCTTTCTTCCTCAAATAGCATTTGCAGAGAAGGCACGTGTGTCTGAGTCATCTCTTCCATCTATGGGCTCTGGGTGCTCTGCTTTGGGTCGTTGGAACTTGTTGTGGATGTTCAGGAGTTTATCCAGGGCCAAGCTTCCCTGGGGACCATTTTGGTCAAGTCCCTTGTCATGGCCTGAGTGGTGGGACAAGGGAAACAGCTGCCTGCTCAGTGTACCACTAGGCTCCTGGGAGCATCTTCCAGAAAGCCCTCTGGTGGCCCAGCAGCACTGTGCACTGCCCATCCTGCTAGATTGAGTTTATCAGGCTCATCCCCTCTGGAAGAGGGTTTGGCCACACTCTTGTCCATCCTACGCAGGCTTCTGGCCTCAGTCTAAGCTTCAACTCCTATTTTTCAACTTGGCTCTTGATCTCCTAGGACCACAGATAAAATACATTCCTGGATGTCTCATATTTTATGTTTCTTTCACTGGTTTTTGGGTGGCCGGAAAGCCTTTGCCCCTGCAGTTTAAGAGTTTAGAGTTGGGAGTGGTCCCCTTGGGGAGGGGATGTCATGAGGGAAAGGGCACCGAGCCAGCTGCTTTTCTCTTAAAGGTGGGCTCACGGCCCCGTACCATCGCCAATGGACATGAGTTGTTTGAGGTCTCAGAGGAGAGAGATGAGGAAGTTGCTGCATTTTGCCACATGCTGGATATGTAAGAGTTAGCGGATGGGGCGGGGGGATTTGGGAGGGTGGTTGGGGCTGGGGAGGAGGGACACCCATTTCAGAACTTTCTTTAGGAAGGAAGAAGGGCGATATTTAATAAACCTCTTTATAGCTGTGGGATGTTTCCTACAACAGGTGTTTGCAGGTGTTTTGAGATTCCAGAAGTTTTACATTTTTAACAAAATCCACAAAAACCTCCGTCTAACAGACCAGTTATCCCCATCACTTTAGGCTCTTGTCCTCAGTTGCCCTCAAGAGCAAATGTACTTCAGGTAGCAATAAGAGTGTGCTCTGGAGCTAAGAGAGAAAGGAAATAGATTCAGAAAAATCCCCCATAGGGAGGACCAGGTTTGCTGGTCTGATAGAGCCTAGTGGAACCACTGAGACTATGGCCCCTAGCTGCCCTTCAGGTCTGGAATTGAACCCATACCTGTGGCTTCCAGCCAAACAAAAGACAGGCATATGAGTTGAACATTTGCCTGGGGTAGATATGCTTCTTGGAGAGAACAATCATGGGAGAAAGAAGGGCTGCTTATGCACAGGGAGACAGCTCAGGGGGCAGGAGTGCATGGAGGGATGAACACAGGGAAGAGGTAACTATAGGGAGGAAGTGGGAGGGGAGCTGTTGCATTGTGGTAAATTGTGGTCAATGTCATAAGACAAAGTGTATGTGAACTGCTGTATGGAAAGTGAATTTGCTCTGTAAATTTTCACCCAAATCACAATGAAAAAGGAAGAAAGAAAAATCCCCCCATAAACTTGACAGGGGAAGCTTTGTCCTTTTAGAACTATCCCTACTATTCTATTCTGCTTGTGAAATGTTTTGCAACTGTAGCAAATATTTCAGGAACACCGTTTCCCAGAGGAGTTTGCCCACTGCCCCCATCCTGGCCTGTAGACCTAGAGGGTCTGGTTGAGTGGGGACAGGTGAGGCCTTGGGTCAAAGGGCAGGAGGGTCCCAGCAGGCCTCTTCTCTGACTGCTCTCTTCTGAAGGCACAGCGATGGTCCTTCTCCCTCTCTTCCTGCACAGCCTTCGATCTGGCTCTGACATCAGAGACTACTCCCTCACTGGATATGTTTGGAGCACGGTCACTCCAAGCCCAGAGCACCTTGGGGATGAGGTAAACCTAAAGGTGACCGTGTTGTGCGACAGCCTGCGGGAGCCACTCACTTTTACCTGCAACTGTAAGTTAGGTGGGGATTGAGCATTCCTTGAAGTGGAATGGGGATGTTTGTGCCCTGGTCCATAGGATGCTTGTGGCTCCGATGAGGGGCAATGGGGAACCTCTTTTGAGGTACTGGCTCTAAGGCCAGTTTTTAGGTCCACAGTAATTTCCCTAACCCATTGATGATGCTAGAGAAGGCTTAGCTGGGATGGGGGATCAGGGTGGTGAAACTGAGCCTTGCCTGCTCCAGCACCCATTGTAATGGTTCCCCCACACACACTCTTCCAGGTTCCTCCACTGTAGACTTGCTCATCTACCAGACCCTGTGCTACACCCATGACGAACTGAGAGATGTGGATGTAGGTGACTTTGTGCTGAAGCCCTGTGGGCTGGAGGAGTTCCTGCAGAAGTGAGTAGACTGGTGGGGGCAAGCGGGGCAGGAGCTAGCATCTGCCTTTTGGATTAAGGGATTATGAGGAGGGTTCAGAGGGCTGGTGCTGGGATTTGGTCTGGCAGCTCTGATCCAGTCCCATAGTCAGGATCCCTGCTTTCTGGGCACACTCTCTGCCACATCACACTTTCCCCAGGAGCTTTGTCTTCCAGCAGGGTTGGCCGGCTTCCTGAGCCAAATCTGCTGTGGAAGGAGCTTGGAGCTGGGATTAGGCAAAGACTGGGTCATGTCTGCTTCCAGACTTCTGCATGTGGAGAAATGTGTATATGAGGAGAAAAAGAACCATGGCATTGTTACTCCTGCTGTAGATGATATGTGGCATCTTTATGGCGAGGGGCAGAAGAATGACTAGGCAGACGTGCCTTTGGGGAGTCTGGAGAAGAAATGATGGTTGTTTTCTACCTTCTCCTGCCAGCAAGCCTTCCCTCACCCCTTTTCCCAGCTGGTTCTCCTCTTCACCAGAGGCTCACCTCCAACACCTCCCCATCCAGTGCCCACTGCAGAAGGCAGCCTCTCTGGAAAGTCTGATGTGGACTGGCTGAGCCAATCCCCTTTCCACTTCCCTGGTTCTGTGGAGTGCAAGGTGAATGGAAGGCAGGGAGCAGATTAAGAGGTGAACCTCCCTCAGGTGGCACAGCCTGTGTGGCAGCTTGTGTAGCCAGCAGGAGGGCAGCAGACAGATAAGCGGATCAACTCTCCTCCCCCAAACTGCAGATTGGCTACTACCCACCACCTTGGGCCTGAGGGAGAGAGAGGCAGCCTGTGCTTCCTTCCCTTCTTAGAAGTGCCTATAAGTGCTACCCCTTGCTTTTTCTCTCTCACATACAGGTCTGGATGCAAGCATGATTCATCTGTGTCTTGAGCATAGGGCTGGCAAAACTAAACCAAACTCACTGCCATCAAGTCGATTCTGATTCATAGTGACCCCCATTGGGTTTTTGAAGCAGTAAATCTTTATGGAAGTAGATTGTCCAATAGTCCTTCCACAGAGTGGTGGATGGGTTTGAACTGCCAACCTTTTGGTTAGCAGTGAAATACCTTAGACACTGCACCACCAAAATAAATAGTAGGGCTGGTTGTTGTTGTTGTTATATGCCGTGGAGTTGGACCTGACCCATAGCAACCCCTCCTTGGGTTTCCGGGGCAGTATCACTACGGAAGTAGATTGCCCAGTCTTCCTTCCAAGGAGTGGCTAGTGGGTTTGAACCGCCAGCCTTTTGGTTAGCAGTCAAGTGCCTTAGGTACTGCGCTACTAGAGCTCCTATTAGGGCTGGTAGTAAGACTAAAGATTCATTTCTTGGCTGATCTCTTCAACCTTAAGGATATTGTGGGACTCTCTCTGGCCTCTGTGTCCTTGTCTGGAAAGCTGAGGGGATGGGTGCTGGCAGAACTCCAAGGGGCACCGTACTCACTACGCTGCTTGTTTGTGCTCTCCCCTGGAGGAATAGGAAGGAGTCCTAGATGCAGGGTGCCCTGGGAGAGAGAACCCAGGAAACCTGCACTGCTGCAAGGGAACAAGGGGCTCTGTGGGAAAATTTGAGCTCCTGGTCACACCCATATGGCTGGTTTGAATTCTGTCTTGCCACTTCTTTTTTTTTAGGATTTGGGTGAAGATTTACAGAGTAAATTCACTTTTCATACAGCAGTTCACATATATTTTGTCCTATGTCATATGTCATTGACCAAAATTTACAATGCAGCAGCTCCCCTCCCACTTCCTCCCCATAGTTACCTCCTCCCAGTGTCCATCCCTTCATACTCTTCTGCACCCTGAGCTATCTCCCTGTGCATAAGCAGCCCTTCCTTCTCCCATGATTGTTCTCTCCAGGGTGTGTGTCTACTTGAGGTAAATGTTTAACTCACATGCCTGTACTTTGTTTGGCTGGAAACCACAGTTGTGGGTTCAATTCCAGACCTGAAGGGCAGCTAGGGGCCATAGTCTCAGTGGTTACACCAGGCTCTATTGACCAGCAAACCTGGTCCCCACCTTCTTTTTTTTTTTTTGCCTCCAAATGATTTTGAGTTTTGTTCTACATTGTTCTCCCTCTCTATGCAGGATCTCCTACATCCCTTCCAAGTGGATGGCAGTGGTAGCTGGGCACCATCTAGTTCTTCTGGTCTCATAGTTGTATAGGTTGCAGATCAGATGGTGTACCAGTCGCTAGGACTGATTGTTTCCATTAATTTTGGTTTTCTTCTTTCTTCTTGACGAGGAGAGACCCGTTGTTGCATCTAGATGGCAGCTTCCTAGCTTTTAAGGTCCCTGTCTTGCCACTTCTTAGTTGTGAAACTCTGACCTTCCTTTTCTTCTGTAAAATGTTGTGAGGATTAAATTGGAGAATGACTCAGTGGGCAATTAACAAATAATAGGAAGACTCAAAAACCCACTGCCATGGAGTCAATCTGACACCTAAAGACCCTATAGGACAGAGTAGTACTGCCCCCATAGAGTTTCCAAGGCTGTAAATCTTTAAGGAAGCAGACTGCCTCATCCCACAGAGTGGCTGGTGGGTTTGAACCACTGACCTTTTAGTTAGCAGCCCAATGCTTTAACCACTGTGTCACCAGAGCTCTTTTTAGCATGAAAGGGCCTATCCAAAGAGAGGAATGGTTGAGGATCTATCTGGAGTAGATTAGACTGTCATCTCCCTCATGGCTCCCCTATTCCTGGGGTCCCTGAGTCCAGAGGTGGTGAGTAACCTGTCAGGTTCTTGACTTCCTGCCAAGACCCAGGAGGAATGTTCTGCATGAGGTGGACCAGGATGGTTCTTGGCCATGCCCATGCCTCTTCAGTTCTAACCTGAATGCACACAGGAAAGCTTTCCACAGAGAAGGTCAAGCAAGTCCCCAGGAGACCTGTGTCCCTGACTTCCAGGCACCACCCTCTCCTTATTAGGCTTTTCTGTTTTTTCCTACCCCAGAAAAGCTGATTCCTAACCCAGAGTCCCCGGGTGGCGTGAACAGTTAAGTGCTTGACTACTAACTGAAAGTTTGGTGATTGGAACCCACCCGGAGCCACTGGGAGGACAGGCCTGATGATCTGCTTCTACTCTGCAAGCATGGAGTCCCCATTTGTTTTTGGTAACTGAACCAGCCCCCAGGCCATGGAGCACAGACCTTTGCCCTAGGTTAAGGTAGAAAAGACCCTCTGGGGTTTCCAGAGAACTGCTAGCTCCCAAAGAGGCCCTCAGATCTCCTACCCCTGCCTAGTAGGAGGAGTTGATAGCAAGGGGGAAGCTGCAGGCCAGGGTGCTGGCTGCTCTCTGATAAGAACCTTGAGACAGTCTCGGGGGAGGGTTGGGTTTCCTGCTACCTCCCCTACCCTTACCACACTCTTCCTTCCTCCCAGGACACTCCCATAGACCTACCCCACAGCCTGGCCTCTCCACCCCCTGGTTTTGGCTGCAGCTCAATCTTAGCAGGTTGGAGCCAACATGGGAGCCCTGAATTCATAAGGATGTAGAGAACCCCGTTAAGTCCTAGCTGGACCTAGATTGACCTTGGGCCCTGGAACCTCTGTCATCATCTCCACATACCCGCCCCCTTTGCTTCAATCCACTCCCTTCCATATCTGGCTTAGATTCCCATTTCTGCTGAGGAAGGAAGTCCCTTTCCGGCTTCTGTTACCCAATTGTTGGGACCCAGCCAGCCTGAATCGCTGCCTTGGAGGTGGGACTCACACTCTGCCCCTTATCTTGGGCTTCCTTTCTAAGATGTGATTTGGGGGGAGAGTTGCAGAGGGACTCCCTAGGCTCCTTCAGCTTCCTGAAATGGAGGGGCCTCGTGTAGGCACTTTAACAGTGGGAAGTATGCAGGTGGGTGTTTCTCAGGAAATCTGCAGAGATTTTTGTGGTTATTCATAATCAGGCAGAACCCCCAGGGATAGGAAGCAGAATTTGGGTGGGCTTGGAGATAACAGATCTGGAATCTTGGTGGGATTGCTTTGTTTTGCCTCAATACCCAGTTGGTACCAGTAGGGAGTGGGAGACTCAGGACCACAGTGGAGAGAGGGTGTCAGTTACTGGGCCCTCACACCTGAGCCCCAGCTGACTGTCAGCCTGTCACCTCATGGTTATTTCAAATATCAAAGCCAAGAGAATAGGGTTTAAACAGCTTCCTCTTGAGAAGTTCCTCTGTTCCCTACTCTCTCCAGCAGCTCCCACCCCTGCAGTAAACCAGTGATAACAGTATAAGTAATAAGTACTGAGGAGAGTCACTATTTGTACAAATCAAAAGTTAATTGTATTAAATTCCCTTTGTTTAGACAGACCTCTCTCTACTCTTTCCCTTAAGCTCTACCATGACATTTTCCAGGAGCATAAGTACTATTCCCTCACCTCCACCTTTATCCTGATTTTCTCTCCCCAAATCTAATGTATACATCTCCCTTCCCACTGAGTCTCCGGGATGCTAATGGTCTTCTCTTACCCCACCAGCAAGCATGCCTTGGGAAGCCATGAGTACATTCAGTACTGCCGGAAGTTTGACATCGACATTCGGCTACAGCTGATGGAACAGAAGGCTGTACGCAATGACCTGGCTCGGACGGTTCGTGTATGGGGAGGCTGATGGTTGTACAGAGCTGGGAAGGTGGAGTGGGCATAGGGTGACTTGGACATGTTGAGTGACAGGTAGGAACACTGGGCTAAGATAAGGGCACCAGCCTTCTCTGAATAGTATACTGCTTACACAGGTGAATGATGACCAGAGCCCTTCCACCTTGAACTACCTCGTCCATCTACAAGAGAGGCCAGTGAAACAGACCATCAGCAGGTGAGAGTGGGAGCCATCTTGGCTCTGGTCTGAAGCAGAACTATGAAGGGAATCCAGTGGATCCCTTGCTTGCCTTCTACCAGGCAAGCAGGGATTCTTGCAGGTGTCAGGGCTTGAAGCCCAAAAGTTTAGTCAGGGAAGCTCCCCACTCCATGGCATGTTACATCTCTTTTCTTTAGGCAAGAGATGGTGAAGTAGAAAAGACTCTCCCTCTTCAGTCTTTATGGAACATATCGAAAGACGGGAACCTCTTTAAACCAGAGTCTGATTCCTGAGCTGAGGAGACAGAGGGAGGGAATGGGTCCTCCAGTGTACTGGGTCCTACCTGACCTCTCCTATGACTTTTTTTCCTGCCCCCAACTCCCCAGACAGGCCCTGAGTCTTCTGTTTGACACTTACCACAATGAGGTGGATGCCTTCCTCTTGGCTGATGTGAGTACAAACCATGGGGGCTGGCCCAGCTGCAAAAGCTCCTCCTCCTCTTCCCCAGTCCTCCTAGGACCAGCCAACACTATACAGGATCTGAAATGGATACTGAAACTGTCTAGCAGAGCACTTCTTTTCATCCCCCTAGCTCATGGGAAGACCAAGACAGCATGCTGCTGGGCAGCTGGCAAGTTTGTAGAAAGCAGCTCTGCTACTCTGTAAAAGTAGGTCAGGAGGAACTGTGCCCTGATCCCTATCTCTGGAGTAAGCTGTCTCTCAATCTAGGGGACATAACGTTGTCTCCCAGCAGCTGTACTTGAGTGTGCACTGGAGTGTGCTTCCTATGAGCAGTGCCCATCAGCCTCTGATGTGTGAGTGGTGTGCTGATGTAACAGGAGGCAGAGGTTCCTGAATGCAGGGAGGGGCCAGGACTTTCACCACTGAAAGCAAGTAGCACAGCTCCTAATAGCATTCCCTTTAGCGTTTCAAGCCTTAACATGCCTGAAAAACATTTGCCCCAAATGTCTTTGTGCCAAAGAGACTCAGACAGTGATCTTCAGAACACAATCCCTGTCTCATTGATCCATTTAACAGTAACCATAGATGCTTCTCTTTTGGGAGTGCAGCATTATATCTAGTCCAGCCCTCTACCCACTGCCAGAACCCGTTCTCTAGCAGCCCTCTGGCTATGCACAGTGATGAAGGGAGAGTCTCTGAACACCTGTTATATGCTAGTCTGCCTCTATGTTAGTGGCTGCTGGAGACAGAGAGGTGTAAGAATAGTCTTAGTCTTCAGTGAGCTTGCGTTCTCGTTAGCAAAATGAGATAATAACATTAAGTGATCAGTAGACAGAAGAAGATGGCAATGAGTTAATCAGCAGCTCTTGGAGGGCAGTAAAGAAGGGGAATGTGTAGGGCTAAGGCATTCAGGGAAGGAGCCCTGGTGGTACAGTAGTTAAGCACTTGGATGTGAACTGAAAGGTTGGCAGTTCAAGCCCACCAGCCCCTCGCAGAAGAAAGCTGTGGCAGTATGCTTCTGTAAAGATTACAGCCTTAGAAACCATGGGGCAGTTCTTCTCTGCCCTGCTGGGTTGCTATGAATTGAAATAGACTCAATGTCAGTGGGTTTTGATTTAAAGTATTCAGGGAAGGCTTTGTGAAGAAAGTAGGATTTTAACTGGTCCATGATTTAAATTTATGTAGGACACAGGACAGATGAGGGGATTCCAAATATGAAAACTGCAGGAACAAAAGTACAGAGGGGAAGGTGTGGGTATGGCATGGCTATGGAACTGAGATGAGATTTGTCTAGAAATTCTATGGAGAAAGTTCTGAGAAATAAGGCTGAGTGGGCAAGGCTCAATGTGAGCTCTTTGGCCTCTTTGCTATTCCCTGTAGATCAGTTTTCTTATGTGTCCCTAGGGGAGACTGTGTGTATTTGCCACAAGTCAGTGGGAAATGAAAGAGGGAGGCTGGGAGTGAGAGGATGTTTGGGGGAACGGCTGAAGGGAAAGTTGGGCCTGGTCCATTTAAATTTAGTGGGAGAGATTTTACACTGATGCTTGAAAATAAAGCATGGATTCCACTAGTTCTGAGACCCATAAGCCCCGGTTTCTCCCAACTCATTGACCTGTTCCTTCCAAGACAGGGGTGAGGGTGGAGCATTGGAGGCTGAGAGTGCTAGCCTCACATGCTGCCTCCCACAGGGGGACTTCCCACTGAAGGCCGACAGGGTGGTCCAATCCGTCAAGGCCATCTGCAACGCCCTAGCTGCTGTGGAAACCCCAGAGATCACCAATGCTCTCAACCAGCTGCCCCCCTGCTCTTCCCGTAGGCAGCCTAAAAGTCAGAAGGTAAAGGGCTTAGGCAGTAGGAAGGGAAAGGGGGAGAGGGGAACATTCATTCACAAGTTACTGAAATTGCCCCATGGCTAAAGTGGTAAGTATCCACTTACACAAAAACTCTTTATCTGTACCTCCATTTTTATAATTCAACAGTTTAATCACAAGAGTTCTTAGAAAATAAATGCTGTCTTTCAGAGAATGATGGTGGGTAGGGTCTCCTCCTGGGACTGATGCCCATGAGTGAGTCCAGGCCAGCAAAGGCTTAATTCACACCCCTGAGACACTGCCTGGCAGTGTGCATATCCATTGGGTTGCAAAACCAAGCTAGGAGAAAGATCTCCCCAGAGCCAGGCACTCCTCCTCCCTCTTTCAGGGGTGACTCCACTGTCTGTCATAGAGACAATGCCCCCAAACTGTGATCTGCAGCACGGAGAGAGTTAGGATGTCTCATCTGGGTGGACACCATGGTCTTATCCTATGTCTGGCTCAGACTGTCCATCACACAGAACTGCTACAAACCATGACTCTATCCTCTCTGGGGAATCTCCGCTCCTCAAATTTCAGCCCAGCATGGTCCAGATGAGCGCAGCTGCTAACAGTCCTTCTTCCAGCTGTGGCAAAAAAGGCCATGGCCCTGAAGTTCCTCTCCCTCTTTCTCCCCAACAGGATCCCAGTGTCTTGGCTGTGAGGGAAAACCGAGGTAAGGGAATTACTTTCTGTCTTCATCTACTAGGGGTGGCTGAAAACTGTGATCTGTGCCCAGATTCCTTTTTCTCCCCAGCCCCCTTGATTTATGTGGCTGAATCTGCCTGTGTGTGTGTGTGTGTGTGTGTGTTTTCCTATATGAGGTGTGAGCACAGCTGGGGAGCATATTTCTTTCCACCAAGTGTTCTCTCATTATTTTTACTAGTTATTCCTTGTGGTGTCCCTGGGAGATGGTGATGAGGTGGAATAAGTGTGGGGGTGGGGGTGGGAGGCAGGGCTAGCCCTGGGATCCAGATGGGAAAACTCCCACTTGGTTAGGTTGTGATTATTCTCCAGGCAGCTCATAACCCCTAGGTTTCCAATTTAGAATGGGCCTTGGGAGAAGATGATAAAGAATTTTTCACTAGGATTTCCCCTATTGAGTCTTGCAAGCAGAACTTGCAAAGCCCATAGTCCTGGGATTCTTACAATAGTAAAATGTCCCCAAATTTATTTTGGGAATCAAAAGAATTGCCACTATTTTATTTTGCCAAGCAAAGACTTTAAAAAAAAAAACCAAAACCTGTGATCATTATTTTATCATCATTTCTTCAAACAAATGACATTTTAACACTAAGTTGCAATAAGTACAAGGAAGGACCCTGTTTAAAACTAAAAAGCTCCTAACATTGTCCTGCTTTTTTTTCCTCATTTCTTCACAGACAGGTGAACTTTGCCATGTGTATTAGAAACTGAGTGACATTGGGGTCTGCTTCCATAAAGATATACAACCTTGGAAACCCTATGGGACAGTTCTACTCCATCCTATAGGGTTGCTATGAGTCAGAATCGACTCAGCCTTGGTGGGTTGGTTTGGTTTGGTCCCAGTCTATCCCATCCTACTCAGTGCCAAGGCACCAAGAAGGAGTTTGCTGAAGCCTCACATGTTTTCCTGTTGACTTTTTTTTTCACAGAAAAAGTGGTAGAAGCCCTGACAGCTGCTATCTTGGACCTGGTGGAGCTATACTGCAACACATTCAATGCAGACTTCCAGACGGCTGTACATGGGAGCTGCAAGCATGACCTGGTCCAGGAGGCCTGCCACTTCTCCGGGCCCCTGGCTTTCACTGTCTATGCCACCCACCGCATTCCTATCACCTGGGCCACCAGGTGAGCTCAGGCTAAGTGGCCTCTAGGGAGGGACCTGGGTTTGATTTGCTGATGGTGTTTCCTGTCTGCAGGTAACCACTGTTTTAAGTTTTAGGATATGTGGCATGGTGGTGCAATCTGGCTGAAGGGGGGTGGTAGGGAGAAGTGTGTGAGGGGAACCTGGGCTGGGACATCCCAGGAGATGGAGAGAGAAGGTCCGCTAGATGGCGAAGGGGCTTTAGAGCTCAGATGTTGCCATTTCCTCTCAGTTCTGGGTGTGTCAGCATCCCCAGCCCCCTCTCCATCCAAGGCCAGCTGATGGAGACAGGGCGACAGATGGCCAGTTCCCAGATAGAGTGCATGCCCCACGGCCAATGACTGCACGCCCCTATCAATGCACAATGGGAGGGGGCGGGGAGGGGGGCAATGACCCTTTGTCTGGGGTTCCCCAGGCTGCAGTGGTAGGTGGAGGGGGAGGTTCATTTGGTAAGCCTGGCTCCTGCAGGATCCCCAGCATCCAAGTCCTGGGGGAAAAGCACTGGGCCCCACCCCAGGCCCTTCCTTTTCCTCCTTCCCCTCCCTTCCCCTCTCTCTTTGTTCCTTGCTTAATATATTCCTCTGGGCCATTGGAGGAGAACAAAGGAGGCAGCCTGGGAAACCAGGGCCTTCTCTGACCTCTTCTGTCAGGCACCTGTCACGAGCCACAGGGACCCCCATGTGTTGGCATTCATGTTGGCATATGTCGCTTTTCTCCCCCACCCTCTCCGCCCAAGAGATTGCATGCAAGTGCGCGTGTGTACACACATACATACGTATGCACACACAGGCATGCTGACACATATGCGCACACATGCACACAGAGACATCTGATAGGTTGGTCTGCACCTGTAAGGAAGAGGTTAGACCTGTGCCCAATAAAGGAAGAAAACTACCAGGCCCAGCATGGAACCCGAACCATGCAGAAGAAACCAGATTGAGTTGTTTCTCTCAGAAAAAAGAAAGGAAAAAAAAAAAAGAAAAAGAAAAGCCAAACACTTCCTTAAGTCCAACTTGGTTGTCCTTGTCCCCTGACCTCAAGTCACAGTTCCCAGAGACTGAGAGTTTTACCAGGAGAAATGGAATTTGATGTTAGAGGACACATTGGTTTGGGTGATTGAGATCTGGTTTGGGTGCCGGGTGTCCTGACCTGCTCCCTTTCTATGGCAGCTATGAAGATTTCTACCTTTCCTGCTCCCTCATCCATGGTGGCAAGGAGCTTTGCAGCCCCCTACAGACCCGAAAGGCTCACTTCTACAAGTACCTCTTCCATCTCATCGTCTGGGACCAGCAGTAAGCCATTCCCCTAGGCTCCAGTGCCAGGCCACTGCAGACCTGCTACTACTCCTCATGCGTGCCTCTGATGCCAGACTGAAACTTGGGCTCACAAGGGCTGAAACCCAGGCTCCATCACTAACCTTAACCAGACAAGTTATTCAACTTTTAAGTTCCCATTACTTCCCTAGCTCTTAAATGGGGCAAGTATAATTTCTACCTCTCAAATTGTTAGGCGGATCCAATGAGAAGTATTCATAAAGGCTCTTTGTAAGCCATAAAGGACTGTATAAACCATTTTATTTTGATCTTGCCTTCTAAACAGTCCAAATGATTCTTAACTTGTCCTTCTTCCCAAAGTTTCCACAGAATAGAGAGAAGGGACCATGCTTTTTCCCTTACAGATACAGAAGGGAAGGTTGTCTAGGGGAGAGAATAATGGGCCTGAAGCCACAGGAGTAAGGCTCTATTTCTAGCTCCATCTCTAATGCTAAGGTCTCTCTAGCCTCTCCGTGCCTCAGTTTATCAAACTGAAAAATGGAGGATATCTGTTTAATTCAAAGGAAGTTGTGGCACTGAAATGAAATAGGCAGATTATGAATATGAAACCATAATCACCATTTACTAACAACAATAATGTTAATAAATAGTCATCAGCCAAGTGAAGCAGGAAGGAAATGGGGGCGAGGGTGCCTTGAATGGTGGTGTTGCAGGTGTTAGTGTGCCCTGGGCCTGGTCTGTGCTATGTTCTGTCCTCCTTTCAGACAGGCAGAAATCCCCTTTTTCGCTGCCTCCACCCTCACTTCCCCAGACTGACTATCAGGGTTTGTCTGACCCTCATGTGTACAGCAGAACTGCAATTTAAATATTTGGGGTGCAGGTAAAAGAGGTTGAGGAGAGTGGGGGTGAGGTCAGGGTGCAGAAACAGGTAAATGAGAAGTCTGTGGAAATGCTCTGAGCGTTGAGTCATTCTACAGATGGACAACTGAGGAGTCAGACCCTCTCTTTCCTTCACATTTTATGTAATTCTTAGAGCAATAATGTTGTCCCTGAAAGACCTTAATCAAACCACCTCCAGAATAAACTCCTTGGAGGCATGGAATAGGTGCAATAAATGCCTTTTGAGCTTCACCATCTCCTTGGGAGTCTTTGGCCTTAATTAGGGTTGCTACATTGTGCTCTGGACCAGGTAGACCCAAAACATTAAGCAGCCTACTTGCCCAGTCTAAGCCCTGTCCTACCTCAGCTTTCTTGCTCTGGGCCCCCAGGGCCTGGCTCATTCTACTTCCTATCTGAGGTCTCTATATTTGAGCCTGTAGGGCTGGTCCCCTGCCTGCAACTTGGTGAAGGGGATCATCCCAGCAATCCTATCTAAATGTCCTGTGTGAGACCTCTTGGCCCCTTCATGGTACCAAGGCATTTGGTACGGTGCAGATGGTACAGTGAGTTCCGAGCACAGGCTTTGGGGCCAGATATCCTCCCTTAGTTATTGTCACTATGACCTTGTATAGGTCATTTCATCTAAAATGGAGATGATACAGTAAAATTTGTGAAAGCCAATACTGGTATAAGACAGAAACCTGTGAGAGAAGGAAAACTCAAATATTCCCCACTAGTAGGGAGAGCTCCAGTGGTGTAGTAGTTAAGGTACCTACCAGCTATTCTGTGAAAGGAAGATGAGGCAGTCTGCTTCTGTAAGGATTTACAGCCTCGGAAACCCAATGGAGGTTGCTATGAGTCAGAATCAAGTTGATGGCAGTGAGGTGTTTTTTTTTTTTTTTTTTAATAGAGTGAAAATGATAAGAGAAGAACAGGGAGGAGAGGAGATTCAGGGCTGCAGCCAATAGAGTAGCAATCCTGACTGATCCCAGGTGTAAGCCCGTGGTGTAGGTTTCAGAATCCCAGATATACTCAAGGACTAAGAGGTGGCCCTGGCTCATTCTAGGGGTTTCAGTTAGAAAGTTAAGACTCTCATTAGAAAGTCTCACTCCACTTTTCCTCTTCCTTCTTGGGGGAAAAGAAAGGCATCAGGACCATCTCAGTCTCCCCTTTACTATGGTGTCAGCTGATTCTCTCTCCCACTGCCGCAGTAGAGGGATCAGCTAACTCTCAAAATAGGCCCGGCAGCCACGCTCTGCCACCTCTGGCCAAGCCCTGGACTGGCATGTCTGCTGGCTGCTGGCGGGGCCCTAATTATAGCTATGGGCCCCCCAGGGTAGAAGCAGCTGGGCCAGAGCTGGGCTCCACCAGTCTCTGGCAGGAGGGAGGGAGAGCCTCACTTAGGTAGAGATTCCCTGGAGGAGTAAGGGGCTGCTGTGAGGGAGGCTGCTTTATCCTGAGACTGCTGACCTTCGGGGTGGCTGCCCTGCCTCTGTGCCCTCTGGCTAGAAGCTACTGGGCCCTGGGCCTGCCGTCAGGGTGTGACTGTGAACTTTGGCCCAGGGACAGCTTCCCCAAAGGTAATGTGGGTCCTCCCTCCCTTTCCACAGCTCTCCTCCCCACCCTACCACACCCCATCCGCAGCTCCTTATCCCGAGCTTAGAGGGAGTGGCTGGGTGTGGTTCAGGCTAAGCAGTCATAGAGAACATCTGGGCCTGGGCAGTGGCGAGTTCTTATGTGTGTCAGTTCTCTCCACCTTGCCAATTCACTTTTTTACCAGCTGGGGAATTGGAGGAGCCTCTTCTCTTTATGCCTTTGGCTTTGCAGATGTTTCATGGGAGAATAAACCATCTTGTGCCTCTGGGGCTAGATGGAGAGGGGGAGGTGAGAGGACACATTACCGGGCAGGGGTGAGGGGTGCCTTCGGGAAAGGGTGAACTGAGGGCAGAGAACTTAGTGCTGCTTCCGGGTTGCTCTCAGCTAGGGAAATGGGAGAGGGATGGGGATGGTCAGAATGAAGGGGGTGACCCTCTACAGAAACCCTAAGTCAAGAGAAGGAGTAGAGCTTGCAGTTTGGAATGTGTAGTCACCTATACTCTGACATGGCTGTGTCTAAGCGAGCTCTGTCCAGTCACCATGGGCAGCCTAACAGTCAGAGCTGTTCTCCTCACTCTGTGGAGGGGGTCACAGCCGCGACCAGGCTGTGGTGTTGGGAGAATCCATGGAGGCTTTGCCTGTTGCCTGGGACCTATGTTGGTCCTTCAGGGTGGCTTCCCCGGGATGTATGTCTGACCCCCTGTGAGCAAGCGTGGATTTTCAGCATCCTTTCTACCTCTTGAACCACCTGTCCCTTGCAGTCCCAGAGGTGGTACCTACTGACTTGGCTTCCTGTCTTTCTAGGATATGCTTCCCCGTGCAGGTGAACCGGCTGCCTCGAGAGACCCTGCTATGTGCCACCCTCTATGCTCTGCCCATCCCCCCACCCGGGAGCTCCTCAGACACCAATAAGCAGCGGCGGGTACCCGAAGCCCTGGGCTGGGTCACCACCCCGCTCTTCAACTTCAGGCAGTATGTGGGCTACAGGGCAGTGGCTTCTCAGCTGTGGAAGGGAGGAGAGGTCACAGAGAGGGGCCCAGCTGCTATAATGGCCAGTATCCCTCAAGAGGGCTGGTCATGGGGGTGCTCACCAACAGAGAAGAGTGGGTCCCAGCCCTGGCAGGAGGGGATCAAAGCACAAAACTAGTAACCAGGACTGTTGATGTAACCAAGAGCTGCTGGGCAGTACTGGTGGCACAGCACTGTTGTGGGGGAGGGGCCGTGGAAAAGCAATACTCGGATAACATGCCATCTGGTCTTGTCATTGGAAGGGCCTTAGAGGTCATCTAGTCCAGCCTCTCTACTTCATGAAGGCATCCCTGCCACCAGGTCATCCAGTCCATGGTACGGTTAGCTTGGAAAGACTTACTGTAGGGTGAGAGCTCTGATAGCAGGACTTTGCAGAAGGAAAAGGCCATAGTCTGTGGGGCTAGAGAGTTGGGAGGTGTGGGTGGTGGCTTCAAACAGAAAAGGTAGATTTTTGGATTGGGGGGGGGAAATATCTGCTTAGCCAAATTTCTTTTGTTGGCTCATCTCACCCTCCATCCTCCTTAGAGTGCTGACCTGTGGCCGGAAGCTTCTGGGATTGTGGCCAGCGACTCAGGAACACCCTAGTGCCCGATGGAGTGCACCTAATTTTCACCAGCCAGACAGTGTCATCCTGCAGGTGAGATTCCAGCCTCAGTTCTTCCCTCTTACCCACCCATCAGGAACCACTCCAGAGTAAGTACCAAGTTCTCCCCTTGGAGGTTTGTCGTGGGACAGTAGAACATGCTAGAAATTTGGCCATGAGCTGATGATGTCACTGAAACAACTGAGTATGGTTAGACCTGAGTTAGGGGGGTGAGCTCTGTGCTCTCTATCTCCCATCTTGTAGAGGTCAACTTTGATTTCAAGGACCCTGAAAGTCAGGTCTGAGACTCTTCCAATGCAGGGCTCAGCCAGCTTTCTGGAGTCCCTTGTATCAAGCCATCTTGCTGCTAAATCTGATCAAAGTTAAGCTGTCCCCTCTTGGGGCTTCAGGGAGAGCCCTCCCCTAGTCAGTCACTCGGTGCTTTAGTGGGGTAGACCCATTCTTCTGGGTGGGGGTGGGGTGGGGAGGAGCTGGTTAGGTCTGAGATCCAGTTACCAGTTCCCAACTCTTCTTCCTGGTGCTCAGGAAATGCTTTGACATGAAATATAGAGTATCAGAGTTGTTATGGAATGAAATAGATACAGAATGACAGCTCTCTGAAGCCGCTGTTTTGTCTGTCTTACTTGCTTACTCTGTCTTCAGGGCCTAGAACAATGCCCAGCCCATATTAAGGTTCAGTACACATTTTGTGAATGAAATAATTAGGACTCTTACTGAGAACTGGTTCACTCCCCTCTGATACCCATTTTAAGAGGATGAACAAACAACTGGAAGCCTAGAAATGGGACCCAGTCTGACACACCTTGGAGTTGGGGGACCTTTACCTGCCATATTGTTTCATATCCCATGAGGCAAGAATGCCCTGCAGGGCCACACCGAAGGCTCTCTAACCTCAGTTGGACACTCCCAGTGGCTTTGCCTGGTGGCTTTTCTATTCATAGTTCTGGGTTGAGGCTGGTCCCTTCACCAAGATGCATCTCTACCCAGCCTGTTCCTCATTGGCATGTTGTTTTATTTTTATAATATGAAAAAAATTATGGTAAATATATATAAGATTTGCTATTTTAACTACTTTTAAGCATAAGATTTGTTGGCATTAATCACATTCCCAATGTTGTATAGCCATTGCTACTATCTATTTTGAAACATTTATATTACCCCAAACAGAAACTATGTACCTATTAATAACTCCCCATTAGTGGCAGAGTGGTTAAAGCATTTGGCTGCTATCCAAAAGGTCCATGGTTCAAACCCACCAGCCACTCTGCAGAAGAAAGATGAGGCAGTCTGCTTCTGTAAAGAGTTACAGCCTTGGAAATCCTACAGGGCATTCTACTCTGTTCTATAGGACCACTATGAGTCAGAATCAACTTGAAGGCAGTGGGTTTAGGTTTTGATCCCCTTGCCCCAGCCTCTAGTAACCTCTGTCTCTATGTGTTTGCCAATTCCAGAGATTTCATAAAAGTAGAATCAGAAGAATATTTATCCTTTTGTGCCTGGCTTTTTTTTTTTCACTCAGCATGTCTTCTTTTTTAAATTTTTATTGTGATTTGGGTAAAAGTTCACAGAGCAAATTCATTTTCCATATGAGAGGCATTTCATGCACATTTTGTGTTATGACATTGATTGCAATGCAACAGCTCTCTTCCCACTTCCTCCCCATAGTTACCTATTCCCTGTGTCCTTCCCTCCCACGCTCTGCCTACTCCCCCAGAGCGATCCCCTGTACAAACACTGCCCTTCTGTTCTCCCACAATTGATCACTCCAAGGAGAGTATTTACCTGATATAAATGTTCACCCCCTATGCCTGTCTGTTGTTTGGCTGGAAGCCACAGGAGTGACTTCAGGACCTGAAGTTGCAGCTAGTGGCCATAGTCTCAGGGGTTTCACCAGACTCTATCATCAGACCAGCAAACCTGGTCTTTTTTTTTTTTTTTTTTTTTGTGTTTTGTTCCACATTGTTTTCCTACTCTATCCAAGATCTCCTATACCAATCCCCCTCCAAGTGGTTGACAGTAGTAGCCAGGCACCATCTAGTTCTTCTGGTTTCATGGTCATATAAGTGGAGGATTGCATGGTCCACTAGCCCCTTGGACTGATTGTTTCTATGTGTCTTTGGTTTTCGTCATTCTTCTTTGCTCTGGATGAGGAGAGACCCATTGTTGCATCTAGATGGCTGCTTGCAAGTTTTTAAGACACCAGATACTACTCACCAAAGTAGGATGTAGAACAATGTTTTTGCATAGTGTGTTATGCCAGCTGAGCCTGATGTCCCCAGCAACCATGGTCCCAAGCCCACAGGTCCAGCTACTCACTCCCTCTGGGTAGCTGGCTGTGGCCAAGAAGTGGCTACGACCTTGTCCCTTGTCAGCTCTACTATATACCCAGACATTCTTACAGCACATACAAATGTTGTTATTATGTGCCATCGAGTTGGACCCAACTCACAGCGACCCCTCCTTGAGTTTCTGAGGCAGTATCACTATGGAAGTAGATTGCCCAACCTTCCTTCTGAGGAGTGGCTGGTGGGTTTGAAGTGCCAGCCTTCTGGTTAGCAGTCAAGTGCCTTAGGTACTATGCTAACAGAGCATGTAAAAACGTTATCTGCCAATCCTATACATGGTCATGGACACACTCTCCCCTGCCTCGACATATCTGATCATTCATCCTGTCTGCCCATCTATCCACCTGTAGATCAATGTTTGTCATCACCGACAATGCAGTACTATACATGCAAAAGGGTTCATCTTTGTTGTCTATACCTCCTGTGTACCTCTCTATGTCTTCCTCTTCCTCGGTGCCACGGTGTTGATCATTTACCTTTGGTACATTGCCTTTGCCTTCACACAAATCACTACTTGTCTCTACCTATCTAGCAGTGTTCCCTTTCCTCCCCTCCAATCCTTGGTAACCAACAAAGAACATTTCCTTCCATATATAAACCTTTCCTTGACTTTTTACAATAGTGAACTAATACAGTTTTTGTCCTTCTGTGATTGACTTATTTCACTCAGCGTAATGTTTTCAGGGCTCATTTATGTCATAGTGTGTATCAGAACTTCATTTCTGTTTATAGTTGGATAATATCCCACTGTATGTGTGTCCCACTTTTGTTTATCCATTCAGCTGTTGACAGACATTTAGGTTATTCTGCCTTTTGGCTATTGTGAATTGTGTTTCAGCAAACATTGGTGTACACTTGTTTGTCTGAGTCACTGTTTTCAAGTCCTTTGGGTATACAGCTAGGAGTGAAATTGCTGGGTTCACTTGTCCCTTTTCTCTTGCTCTCTTTTCTTTCCTTCCCATTTCTTACTGAAAATTACAGTTGGAAGAGACTTTAGAGATCACCAAGTCCAACTGTGTTATTTTACAGAGAACCTGAGGGAAGGGAGAGAGGGAAAAGGCAGGAGTGCTGGGGGAGAGAGAGAAGCTGGAGACCCCAGATGGTTGGCTACCCCCCCTCACACTGGCTCTTCTCATTTCTCTACTTCTCTGATCCCATTCACCAGATTGACTTCCCCACCTCAGCCTTTGACATCAAGTTCACCAGTCCCCCTGGAAACGAGTTCAGCCCCCGCTATGAGTTTGGCAGTCTCCGGGAGGAAGACCAAAGCAAGCTTAAAGACATCATGCAGAAGGAGTCCCTGTACTGGTGAGGCCCAGGGCATCCCCTGTGCATGGCACAGGTCCCCCACCAAGTTTGTTACTTCTGTTGGACACTCTCTTACTTCTCAGCACCAAGTTCCTGCCTTCTGCTTTAGGAGTGGAGGTGGGATAGGGTGAGCATTGCCAGCTAGGCTGGAAATGGTAAAGAGAAGGCCTTGTGGGGGCCAGTCGCCTGCCCTTTTCCATGAGCTGATACTAGGGAAAATGGAGCAGAAATTAGACCTGGGTGTGCCCATCTCCATGCTGAACACTTGGCCCAAACTTTTTCCTGAGAGGACCAGAGCTTTGCTCCCCACTCCAGATATACTGTCTTCCTTGCTGTCCACTGGGGCAGCTGGCTACTGTCCTCAGCACCCTGCCCCCCACCTCCTACCCCTCCCATGCCCACAGTCTTTGCATTACTCTGGCCCTGTCACTTTCCAAAAAGGATCAGGTGTCAAAGCAAGCTGGCAGCAATCAGGGGTAAGCGTGTCCAGGTTGATCTCATCCTCTGGACTTCTCTCACCAGGAGTGGAGAAGGCGGGGTGGGAACAGAGAGCTAGAGGAGTTATTGGGATCTGGGTTCCTCCCGTTCCTCTCTCTCTGCATACCTCTCTGCCTCACGCATGGCCCTGTGTACATGTTGAGTGGGGAGACATGAGCAAGAAGGGGCTCATCTTTCTCCCTCATGTCACACCCAGGGCAGCCAGAGCAGCTGCAGACCTCCCCTGCCCCCCATTCCTCTGCTGACCCCTCACTTCATTAGCCTTTCGGCTCCCTTCTCCCATTAGACACCTGATCTCCAGCAAGGCCAATTAGCTGCAGGTCCTATTAAACTGCCAGCTGGCCCCAGGAGGCCCCAGGAGGCCTCTCAGCTGTCCAGATGGTGACATGTAGGAACCACTGCCCTCTGGTGGCTCAGCTTGGGAGTGGTGCCTTGGGACATCTTTGGGAGAGGTAGCAAATTTGGTGCTCTTGGCCTGTACATACTGCCTCAATGGCAGATGCCCCTGAGTTGGGATCAAAGGTGAGATTTTGGCCCTGGTCCTCAAAGTTGGCTGCACATTAGAATCACCTGAGGATCTTTTAAAACTACTGATGCCTGGCTCCTGGCCCCAGACATTCAGATTTAACACATATTAAGGGTGACCTAAATGTGGGGAATTTTTTTTTTCTTTTAAAATTTTTATTGTGGGGAAAGTATACATAACAAAACATATGCCATCTCAACAATTTCTACATGTACAATTCAGTAATATTGATTATATTCCTCAAGTTGTATAACCATTCTCGCTATCCTTTCCCAAATCAGTCCACCACCATCAGTGTGACTTCAGTACTTCAGTGCCTCCTAAGCAAAACTCCCCCTTACCCCTACCTCCAAACCTCAGTAACCACTAATAATCTTTGGTTTCTATGTATTTGCTTATTTCATATAAGTGATGTCATATAGAATTTGTCCTCTTGCAACTAATTTCTTTCTTTCTTTTCTTTTTTATTGTGACTTGGGTGAAAGTTTGCAGAGCAAATTCATTTTCCATACAGCAGTTCATACACATTTTGCTTCATGACAATAATTGCAATCCCTATAATGTAACAGCTGCCTTCCCACTTCCTCCCTGTGGTTACCTTTTCCCTGTGTCCTTCTTTCCCATGCATTCCTGCCCTCTGAGCTATCTCCCTGTACAAATGCTGCCCTTCTGATCTCCCATGATTGATTGTTCTAAAGAGTATAACTACTTGGTGTAAATGTTCGCTTTATAGGTTTGTCTGTTATTTGGTTGAAAGCCACAGGAGTAAGTTCAATTCCGTAACTAGGGGCCATAGTCTCGAGTATTTTACCAGTCTCTATCAAACCAGTAAACCTGGTCTTTTTTTATGATTTTGAGTTTTGGACCACATTTTTCTCCCATTCTGTCCAGGATCACCTACAATGATCCCTTTTCTGCGTGGTTGACAGTGATAGCTGGGTACCGTTTAGTTCTTCTGGTCTCAGGATCATATAGGCTGAGGTTTGTGTGGTCTGCTAGTCCCTTGGACTAATTATTTCCCTGTGTCTTTGATTTTCTTCATTCTTCTTTGCTCCAGAGAAGGAGAGGCCAGTTGTTGCATCTTAGATGGCCACTTGCAAGACTCTAGTCACTACTCACCAAAATAGGATGTAGAACAGTGTTTTTGCCATTGAGTGTGATGACAACTGATTTTACTTAGTGTAATGTTTTTGTAATGTTTTAAAGTTCACCCATGTTATAGCATGTATTAAGATTTCATTTCTCTTTATATCTGTGTAATGTTCCATTGTGTGTATATACCATATTTTATTTATCTGCTCATCTGTTGATGGACATTTTGGTTGTTTCCACGTTTTGACTATTGTGAAAAGTGCTGCAGTTAACATTGGTGTATAGGCTTCTGTTTGCATTTTTGCCCTCACTTCTTCTGGGCATATACCTAGGATTGGAATTGCTGGGTCATAGGATAGTTCTATGTTCAGATTTTTTGAGGACCTTCCAGAGTGTCTTCCACAGTGGCTGTACCATTTTACATAGCTCCCCAGGTGATGCTAACGTAGAGCAAAGTTGAGGAACCACTGCATTGGGATGTGTAGTATTCCCTTGGACAGACTCTGCTGTCTCCTACCTTCACCCTACAGGCTCACTGATGCTGACAAGAAGCGTCTGTGGGAGAAGCGCTATTATTGCCACTCGGAGGTGAGCTCACTCCCCCTGGTACTTGCCAGCGCCCCCAGCTGGGAGTGGGCGTGCCTTCCCGACATCTATGCACTTTTGAAGCAGTGGACCCACATGAACCACCAGGATGCCTTGGGGCTCCTGCATGCCACGTGAGTATGATACCCACCTTTCCAGACACGTGGCCTTCCAGAAGTCAGTGCTTGGCACTGCCTGTCACTGACCTAAGCTGGTCCTAGGGAAAATGGTGAAGTGGGCCTGGGTCTTTATGGCTTTTACATATACCCTTTTTACTTTTTTTTTTTTTTTGGTCTCATTTTTACCCACCAACATTATATTACAGTTTTCAAACACAACAAGATTAATAGATTTTTACAATGAACATCTATATACCCACCACCTTGTGCCATGTATATGTATACCAAAACCATACCAAACTCACTGCCATCGAGTTGATTCAAACTCATAGCAACCCATTGAGTTTCTGAGGCTGTAAATCTTTATGGAAGTAGATTGCCCCATATTCCTTCTGCAGAGTGGCTGGTGGGTTTGAACCACTGACCTGGTTAGTAGCCAATGGCCTTATCCACTATGCCACCAGAGCCACACACACACACACACACACACACACACGTACACACACACACGTACACACACACAGTGAAGACAGGGCAATCTACTTCTGTTAAAGCATTATCACCTCAGAAACCCGAATGAGGGTTGCTCTGAGTTGGAATAAACTCGATGGCAGTGGGTTTGGTTTGTTTCATATATATACATGAAACCAGCCACTCCATGGGAAAAAGGTGAGGCAGTCTGCTTCTGTAAAGATTTACTGCCTTGGAAATCCTATGGGGCAGTTGTTCTCTGTCTTGTAGGGTTACTATGAATCAGAATTGACTTGATGGCAGTGGATTATATACATATATTTTTTTTCCATGTATTTGGAAGTAAATTGCAGATATCATTAAATTCCCTACTAAATATTTTAGCATGCATGTCATTAACCACAGTTCATTATTTGTTTATGGATTTTCTTTTTTTTTCCTTTGAGGTAAAATTTATAAACAAGAAAATACCCAAACCTTAAGTGTACATTTGCTCATTTTTGATATATGTAAACACCTGTGTAACCCAAACCTTGTCACTTAGTTCACCTCTTAACAATCCTTTCTTTCCTTCCTTCTCCAGAAGGACTCTTTGGGAACACACGGCTCCCAGTGTCTGACCCCTAGTACCTAGTATTCCTGGCTGACTTCTCTCCATTCTCATTTATCCACATTGACCCAATCCGTGTGTCCTACCTTTGGGACTTTCTAAGGCAATGGGCTTGCTCATCTCAGCCAAAATATACTGGCTATTATATAATTCCACCATTCTGTTATTTGTCTAGTCAGCTTTGCATTTAAGGATGGCACCAAGACATGATAATGCTGTAACTCACATGAAGGTTCTTTGATGATGGGAATTTCTGGCACAGTGGGACTCAAGGAAGAGATTTTTGAGAGTGGGGTTGGGGCTGAGGACTTAATTCCATTTAATTCAAACACAAAAGGAATGAGAGTGGCCACTACCTATACCTCTGTGTCTTGGGATGGAGTCTGACCATGGCAGGTGATCAGTCCCAGGTAGATGCTAAGGACCCTCCTAGTGCTTTGGCAAATTCTAGGGAACCTTGCCTTTCCTCCATCTTTTCCTTTCTACCCTCAGAAGCCCAGGTGGTGAGGAGGCTAGGTTTGGAAGCCTGTGCCTCAGAGTCTGTGGCTAGGTATCAGGGCTGGGCTCTGTTTTACAGCTTCCCGGACCAAGAGGTACGTCATATGGCTGTCCAGTGGATCAGCTCACTCTCAGATACCGAGCTGCTGGACTACTTGCCTCAACTGGTGCAGGTGGGTAGACTGGCCTGCCCTCCAGTTCTGATGAACTGCCCCTGCACTCTGCCCCTGAGAACCCTGGAGTCCCCAGTAGGCTAGTGGTAGGTGTAGACTGGGGGCAGAAAACACAGCCTTATATTCTCCTCCTCTGTTTCTCCTAAACAGGCCCTAAAATATGAGTGCTATCTGGACAGTCACTTGGTGCGTTTCCTCCTGAAACGAGCGATCTCTGACTTGAGAGTGACTCACTACTTTTTCTGGTAAAATTGTGTGTGCAAAGGTGGGAGGTAGATGCGTGGGCTTCACATGGGAGTGTTTTGCTCCAATGCCTGCAAGGGTGAGGGCCTTAGTCCTTGGGGCTCCAGGATGCTGCTGACTTACTCAGTGAATGGCCTTGAGCTAGCTAGCGTTTTTTCCTCAGGAGGTCTCAGTTCTCCCTAGAGTAGCACAGGGAGGATTGTTCCTGTACCTCCTGCTGCCCACCCACAACAAAAATATAAACTGGATGGAGAGGCATTTTGAGCTTTCACTATTTAAAGAGAGTGGACACACTTGGATATGAGCACAGGTGACACCTCTGTATAGGCTCTGCATGTTGTTGATGATAGGTGCCATTGAGTCAATTCCGACTCATAGGGACCCTGTGTGACAGAGTAGAACTGTCCCTTAGAGTTTCCATGGCTGTCATCTTTATGGGAACAGATCACCAGGTCTTTCTCCCACAGAACTGCTGGATAGGTTCAAACTTTCACCCTTTCAGTTAGCAGCCAAGCACTTAATATATTTTCTCTACCAAATTTGGGGTGGATTTTGTAGTGAGTTGGACCTGGGTTTGGTCCCCTCACGTCCCTTGACTGTGATCCCTTGAGTGTCCTGACTCCCCACTCCCCTCTGCTTGTAGGTTGCTGAAGGACGGCCTCAAGGACTCTCAGTTCAGCATCCGTTACCAGTATCTGCTGGCGGCCCTCTTGTGCTGTTGTGGCAAGGGGCTGAGGGAGGAGTTTAACCGCCAGTGCTGGCTTGTCAACACCCTGTCCAAGCTGGCCCAGCAGGTCCGGGAGGCCGCCCCATCTGCACGGCAGGTAAGTGGAGTGATGCTGCCTCTATTTCTAGCCCAGAGTTCTGCAGCCTGTTAGGTCAGATCAGGCATCCTGATCAGCAGGATGATGCTTAACCATCTATGATTTAGGGGTAGAAGGAAGGAAGTGGCTTTGTCTCTAAACTGCAAGCCACAAACCAACAGTCTGTATGCTGGTTACAGCCTGTGGGTGTGTTTTGTTTGGGTAGCAAAGTATTAAAATTTTTATTTAATTATTTCTTGTAAAGGCTGAGCAGTTGTGTAAGTTGTTCACTGCATAAGAGCTCCTAGTCACAGGGGGCAAATGAGGGCTGAAATCCGGCCATACTTTGTTCACTAGTCTGTAAGCCATGGCTCAGAACTATAGCCCCCAAAAGCAGCACCTTTATATGTTTGCACAAAGGTACTTTTTGGGGCCACAGTGTTCCTGGTTACCAATATTTAAAAATAGAGAAATTTCATAATAAAGTTTAGATTGTTGGCTTCTCTGGTAACAGCCTGAGTAACAGCTCACCCTTGAAGGGCAGCCTGCCCTGAGTTCATGACAGCCTGCTTCTTGCTATTTTGTGACCTGTCCAGCCTCTATAGGTCCTTGGGCTTGCTGCCCCTACACTGTACCAGGCTGAGGTATGGGTTGAGGGGCTTTCCTTCTTAAGGGCCTCCTGGAGGTGGTCCACCCTTTGTTATTTTCATACCAGCTACCACTGGGCAGCCACTCCTGAGGGAGACCTACTTCTGGGTGGAGTTGACGGCTCCTCACTTCAGTCCCCTACCCTTTCTTCCTACCCTTTCAGGGGATCCTCCGTACAGGCCTGGAGGACGTGAAGCAATTCTTTGCTCTCAATGGCTCATGCCGCCTGCCACTGAGCCCCAGTCTGCTGGTCAAGGGCATCGTGCCAAGGGTGAGTGACTGGTGGGTCTGGGGCTGTCAGTGTGGGGAGCGGTCTGCAGAGTCGTTACTTACCTACCTCATTATTGAGAGATACAAGGAAGAAAGGCCTGTTTGTGACCTTCTTCTCCCCCAATGTGTATGGACTTTTGCCCAACAGCTGTGCAGGGTAGAGGACTTAGGTTAAGGCTGGGTAAGTGTCTCTCCCTGATGATGTTGGAGATAAAGTTGGGGATGGGGATGGAGATGGCTGCTGTCACCTCTCACTTATTGAGTGCTTTCTCTACACCTGGCATGGTTCTAAGTGCTTTAGGTAGGTTATCTCATTTCATCCTCACAGTTCTATGTAATTGGTATTATTGTGAGGCCATTTTACAGAAGAGTAGACGGAGGTCTGGGTAGGACTTGTATACATCAGAAGTTATACAACTAGTAAGTTGTGTGCAGAATGGCCTGAAGGAAAGATAATCAGGTGCTGGAGTTGAGGTCATATAATATATTGGACCAGGAAGATGGCAGAAGAGGGGAAAGGAAGGGATGAGTATCTGAAAAACCAGGAGGAAGCAATGAGCAGGTGTGGGTGGACCGGCAGCAGGATGGAGGCAGCCTCTTGATCCCAGGTGGAGAGCAGTCATTTTCCTCGCTGATCCTCAATGCTGCCCTCTTTGCTGTGGCAGGACTGTTCCTACTTCAACTCCAATGCCGTCCCCCTCAAGCTCTCCTTCCAAAATGTGGACCCGTTGGGTGAGAACATCCGTGTCATCTTCAAGGTGAGAGACCTTCACTCAAGACCAAGGTGGGACCACGGCAGGAGAGAAAAGAGTAAAAAGGAGCCCAGGGGTGGCAGAAGCAGCACTGGGCTATGATCTTCCCACTGTTCTATGCTGCCTTGTTGATTTATGAAAGACCATCTGGTAAAAAAAAGACATAGTCTAATTCTATGTGGCCACAGGGGGCTAGGAACACTCTGTTGGGAGGTGTAGCGAGGCAGCTGACAGCTCAATCCGTGGAAGCACTTTCTAGGAGCCTGAGCTGTCCCAACAATGGAATGGGTAAGGTAGTGATCTGCTTGCTCTGGGGAATATTCAAGCAGAGGCTGAATGACCACATGGCAGGGATTTTGAAAAGGAAACTATTATATCAGGTGCAAGTTGGGCTAGATAAACCTTGAGCTCCCTTCTGACTCCAGTATATCACGATTCTTAGAAGCAAATGATTGTCTCAGAGCATATGATCTTGTGGGGGAGGCAAAAATGCATGTAGATGATTTAGTAACTAACACTATATATTTGCTGTGTGTAATTTACAAATCTAGGGGGATAGGGTTCGGGGGTGAGGCCTGATGGTCAGGGACAACTGCACTAGGAAGAAGACCCATTTAAAAAAAAGTCAGTTGAGTTGATTTGACTTAGGGCCACCTTATAGGACAGAGTAGAACTGTCCTAGGTTTCCAAGGCTGTACATTCTTTATAGAAGCAGCCTGCTTCATCTTTTTCCTACAGAGTGGCTGATGGATTTAAACCACCAACCTTTCAGTTAGCAGCCAAGTACCTTAACTACTGGACCACCAGAGCTCCTTTGAAAGGAGGCTGAATCCAATTTAAGTGGGGGTGTGGAATGAAGGGGAGGGTGGGACACTGCCTGGGCACAGTATGAAGGTTATTGAATCATTTCTGTTGCTTTGACCCAGTGTGAGCTGAGTGAGCAGGTCAGAGGTAGTCAGACAGGGCAGTCCTTCCCTGTCACTGTTGTTTGGGCCCAGGGAGCCCACTTGGGAGTGGGAGGCAGTGATGGAGATGGGCTCTGGTGCATCCAGCACTGAGGCCTTGCTCTTCCCCCATGCAGTGTGGGGACGATCTTCGCCAGGACATGCTAACTCTGCAGATGATTCGCATCATGAGCAAGATCTGGGTTCAGGAGGGGCTGGACATGCGCATGGTCATCTTCCGCTGCTTCTCCACTGGCCGGGGCAGAGGTCAGTCAGGAGGAGGGGGGTGAATAGGCAAGTGATGGGGAGGGGATCCCTGTGCTTATTGGCCTATTCCCATTCCCCAACATGAACTCTGAACGTCTCCAGGACAATGAAAAGGAGAAGATAGTTTCATTAGAGATTGTGAAATGTCATAAAAAAAGAAGTAAACGAGAGAGACTTCAGAAATAAAACAGACTTGGGGACATAACCACACCTATTATATAGACTTTGTTTGGCTCCTGATTCAACTTAACTTTCAAAACTTTTTTTTTGAGACAATTGGGGAAATTTGAAGATACACTAGGTATTAGGTCATATTCAGGAATGCATGCTCATTTTTTGGATATGACAATGGTCTGGCAGTGTGTCCGTGTTAGTTATATACTTGAAGTATTTATGAGTGAAATGATGTGTCTGGAATTAGCTTTCAAATACTCTAGCCAGGAAAAAGGGGGGGGAAAAAAGCAGCAGATTGGGTGAGTGAACTAGATAAAAATTAGCAAAATGTTGATAACTTTTTTTTTTTTATTGTGATTTGGGTGAGAGTTTACAGAGCAAATTCATTTTCCATACAGCAGTGCATACACGTTTTGTTTCATGACATTGTTTGCAATCCCCATAATGTAACAGTTCTCTTCCCACTTCCTCCCTGAGATTACCTTTTCCCTGTGTCCTTCTTTCCTATGCATTCCTGCCCTCTGATCTATCCTTGTGCAAATGCTGCCCCTCTGATCTCCCATGGTTGATTGTTCTAAGGAGTACACCTACCTGGTATAATTGTTCACCTTGTAGGCCCGTCTGTTTGGCTGCAAACACAGAAGTGAGTTCAGTTCCAGGCCTGAAGGGTGACTAGGGGCCATAGTCTTGGGGGTTTCACCAGGCTCTATCAGACCAGTAAAAATGTTAATAACTTTTGAAGGTGGGTAATGGTTCATATGAATTTATGAATTCATAATACTATTTTCTCTAATATATATTTGAAATTTTATGTTATAAAATGCGAAAATCGAAAAAGAGCAGCAGCTATGCACTGGAAAACTAGCAGGTCACAGGATGGAATATGAGATTTGGGGCGTGATCTTCCTTTCAACTTCTAACGTTTTCCCCAGGTTCATGCCCTTATTATTAGACTTTACCCAATTGCCTTTAAGCTCAATTTATAGGAAAGCATCCTACAAAGCCCTCATAGTCCTCTCACCACAGCTCCCTCACTCTGCTCTGAAGGGAAATACTGATTCCTTCTCTCTCAGGGATGGTGGAGATGATCCCCAATGCCGAGACCCTGCGCAAGATCCAGGTGGAGCACGGGGTGACCGGCTCCTTCAAGGACCGGCCCCTGGCTGACTGGCTGCAGAAACACAATCCTGGGGAGGACGAGTATGAGAAGGTAGGCTCTGTGTGCTGGGGTGCAACGTGCCTGACTGGCACATACCTGTTATCTTATTTTCCTAGTTGCCGTATCAGAAATACTACCAAGTGGGTGACTTTAAAGAATAGAAATTTATTTTCTCAAGAGGCTAGAAGTCCTAATTCAGGACACAGGCTCTTGGAGAAGTCTTTTTCTGTGCCGGCTCTGGGGGAAAATCCTCGCCTCCTTCAGCTTCAGTAGCCCCAGCATGCCTCAGTTTCTTGGCCATCATCTTCACATTACATCTGTCTTCCCTCAGTTTTTGCTTCCTTCTGTGTGGTGGTGCAGTGCCTAAGACATTTGACTGCTAACTAGAAGGTTGATGGTTCAAACCTACCATCTGCTCCGAGGAAGGAAGATGGGACAATCTACTTCTATAAAGGTTTACCACCTCAGAAACCTAGCTATGAGTTGCTGTGAGTCGGAATTGACTCGACGGCAGTGGGTTTGGTTAGCAACTGAGCACAGTGGTGTCACTAGGGGGATACTGGAATGTGGACTGTATCCCCTGACACTGTCAGGGGGTGACACCAAAATGACCCCAGGGCCCATAAGTGAGGCCACCCTCACACAGCAGATGGGCTGGTGTTGTAGGGGGAGGGGCTGCCAAGGCCAAGGCAGTAGTGTCACTAGGGTTGGTATTACTCATTACCCAGTGTGGTAACTCATCACCATGGCTGCTGCCACTGTTGCCCTCCACCCCCACATCCAGTGTGATAACTAGTCATCACCTCACCACCCACACCCCTCACCTGCCAGTCAGGGTGTAGATGGGCCACTGTACCTAGGGTTGGGGGTGTACAGAGAGGGGTGGGTCTCTGCCTTGGGCAATGAGAAAGGAGAGGAGGAGCTGTGAGGAGCCATGGGTGGCAGGCAGAAAGGGATGGTGCTGCACAGCATGGCTGCATGACATAGCTCTTGGCCCTGCATGGGACTGACTGAAGTGCGCCACTCTGCTCACAAGGGAGGCTAAGTAACACCATGGGTTACCACACTGGGTAACACCAAACCTAGTGATGCCACTAGTCTAGTGCAAACCTTTTGCACCACACAGGGACCTTTCCATCAGAGTTTTGGAGGAGAGGGGCCAACTTTTGACAACCTGCTATATCCCTTCTGGTCATGCATCCATTCAGTTCCTCCTGTGCTCAGAGGGGTTCAGTAGTACCTTATAGAATAAGAATTTGTTGGAAGAGTAGAAGAGATGTTGTTGTTGTTATGTGCTGTTGAGTCGGACCTGACTCACAGCAACCCCTCCTTGGGTTTCCGAGGCAGTATCACACAGCACTGTGCCTTTAGACAATGGTATTCCCTTTGCCTGGAATGCCATTTTTCCCTTCCTCATCCCTCCAAACCTACCCCCTTTGATACCCCAGGACAGAGTTAATTTCTCTGTGTGTGTTCTTATTTCTTACATCTCTCACATTTATTATGGTGCTTGTTACATTGGTGCGGATAAGCATAATTTCAACACCTAGCACAGTGCCGCTGCATGGTGGGTATTCAGTGCTTGAGAAAAACATGGAACATAAATAATATGTGGGTGCTGGAATACTTTCTTTTAGAAAGATCAGCACAAGGCGGTCCCTATGAGGGACCATTACATTACATTTACATTACACACTGCCATCGAGTCAGATCTGACTCATAGTGACCCCTCCTTGAGTTTCCTAGGTGGTATCACTACGGAAGTAGATTGCCTAACCTTCCTTCCGAGGAGTGGCTAGTGGGTTTGAACCGCCAGCCTTCTGGTTAGCAGTCAAGGGCCTTAGGCACTATGCCACCAGAGCTCCTTCCCCTATTTTGCTGTAACATCTCACAGAACTCACACACTGCAAGGAAACGGTTCAACTCAGTAGTAGAGGCAGGGGGTCTGACAAGTCCCAAATCTAGGGCTCAGGCATAAGTCTGGAGGACTTTCCTCACTCAGGTGGGTGCAGGGGCTGGCAAAACCAAATCAGCAGGTCAAACAACTGGCTGCTGTCTCAAATCCAGGGGTGAGATGATGACAAACCGAAGCAGGATCCAGAGCAAGAGAGAGCGACTTTTTTTTTTTTTAAACTGTGATTTGGGTGAAAATTTATAGAGCAAATTCACTAGAGAGAGTGACTTTGCCAAAACATTCACATATATATACCTTCAAGGAAACTAAGGTGGTGACTTGAGTCACACCAGCAAGGTGGGACTCAAGGTACATCCCATCCTAAACAGGCATACAAAGATTTACAATATATTACAAAATGAAGGATTGTGGTTCAACTCTCACTGCCGTCAAGTCAGACCTGACTCATAGCAACCCCTCCTTGGGTTTCCAAGGTGGTATCACTATGGAAGTAGATTGCCCCATCTTCCTTCTGAGGAGTAGCTGGTGGGTTTGAACCTCCAGCCTTCTGGTTAGTAGTCAAATAGCTGAGGCACTATGTCACCAGAGCTCCCAGACTGTGGTTAGAAGGGCCATATTAAGCAATTCACTGCACTGCAGTGGAGGTGAGGGGGAAGAATCTATATTCTTTCCAAGCATAGAGGGGCTTTTAGTGGAGGGAGGTTATATTTGCATAAAAATAAAACAAAAACCAAACCCACTGCCATCGAGTCAATTCTGACTCATAGTGACTATCATTGGGTTTCCAAGGCTGTAAATCTTTATGGAAGTAGATTTCCTCGTCTTCCTTCCACAGAGTAGCTGGCGGGTTTGAATTACCAACCTTCTGGCTAGCAGCCAAATGCCTCATCCACTATGCCACTGGAGGTCTTTTACCCAGACATTAAAACAAACAAACAAATAAACCACCACAATGTCATCAGGTGAAAATACTCATAGTATAATACAAAGAATTGAGTTCTCATCATATTATCTGCCTGCTGCAATTTTGGGGCAAATCAATGTACTTCTTTGAGTCTCAATTCCCTCATCTATGAGAATAGGGGAGTGAACTAACAGTAAGGCCCTGCCACCTCCAACAGTCTAAACATTTACCAGTAAATGTTTCATGTTGGTCTATGAAAGATAGCTTCTTCTATCTTGTAGTTCCTTGTGTTGGCTTTCAGGAGAAAAGAACTAGAGATAGTTTTCTGTTGTCCAGCTATTCATCAAAGAGATTCCCCTGTGTCTGCTGGAACCTGGCCCCTAGTCACCCTTCAGGCCTGGAATTGAACTCACTTCCGTGTCTTCCAGCCAAACAAAAGACAGGCATATGGGGTGAACATTTACATCAGGTAGATATACTCATTAGAATGATCAGTTAAGAAGATCAGAAGGGCAGTATTTTCCCAGGGAGATAGCTCACGAGGCAGGAATGCATAGGAAAGAAGGACACAGGGAAGAGAACTGTTACATTGTGGGGACTGCAGTCAATGTCATGAAACAAAATGTGATAGACTGCTGTATGGAAAATGAGTTTGCTCTGTAAACTTTCATCCAAATCACAATCAAAATTAAAAAAATATTCCCCTGTGTCCTACAAGTGAAGCTCCTTAAATCAAGAGAGTGTCCCATTATATGATGAGACTCCTTGCCTGCAAGAAACTAACACCCTGCATAACTTAATGAGGTGATAAGTATTTAGTCATCTTTCCACAGGCATACAGCTGTATTTTGTGAGCCAAAATAGGATTCATTTATGGAAGAAAGAGTATCTGTGACAGGAAAGCAATTTGATGGAGCTGAAGATCAGGACTGGGAGCTGATGGGTTGTATTACTTGTTGAGCAAGTAATTTCTTTTCATTCATATATGTATTTCCCTTTCGTAGAAATTGTCTTTTTTTCTTCCAGAAGGGGAATTCTGTGATATCTTTATAGACTTTCCATTCTTAGTTTCCTTTGGATTAATCATCCATTTATAATACAACAGGCAGCAGGGCTAGGGTGCCTTCTGTGTGTGGCTGGTTTTAAAACAAGCCTTCTGGAACAGCCAAGAAACCTGTAACCAAAAAAAACCCCAAACTCATTGCCATCGAGTCGGATCCGACTCAGTGACACTTCCTTGGGTTTCTGAGGCGGTATCACTATGGAAGTAGATGCCCAATCATCCTTCTGAGGAGTGAGTGGCTGGTGGGTTTGATCCTCCAGCCTTCTGGTTAGCAGTCAAGTGCCTTAGGCACTACACCACCAGAGCTCCTAAGAAGACTGTAGGGAGCTTATAATGTACTTGGGATATAAAATCTCTTAACTGTGAGAGATGGGTGTCAGTGGCAGTTCAGTGGTAGAACCCTTACTTTCCATGCAGGAGACCCCGGTTTGATTCTCAGCCACTGTACCTCATGCACAACCACCACTCATCACTGGAGGCTTGCATGTTGCTATGGTGCTCAGCAGGTTTCAGCAGAGCTTCCAGACTAAGACAAACTAGAAAGAAAGGCTTGACAATGTACTTCCAGAAATCAACCAGAGAAGACCATGGATCACAATGGTCCGATCTGCAGCCCATCATGGGGCTGGTGTAGGACCTGGCAGCATTTTTTCCTTTGTGCATGAAGTCACCAGAGTTGGGGGCCAACTCCATGGCAGCTGACAACAAACCCTGGGGGAGTATAGACTAAGCACTGTGTGAATGGTGTTGGCAGTGAATTTGTAGGGGCTCAAAGGAGGAGGAGGAGGAGTCAACTGATTTGGGAAGCTCTGGGATTCAAGGAGGATCCTTGAAGGATGGATGGATGGAGATTTGTGGAAGGAGAGAGGGTGGGTGTTTTACATCTGGGAAGCTTTCTCTCTTTCCCTGTTTTGTCCCTCCCTACTCGACCTTGACAGCTATTGCCCTCTGCTGATGAGACTTTCTTGAGTTCTTGAGAATTCTAAAACCTCACAAAGTACAGGGTAGTGCCGATTCCATGTATTTTTATTTCCTGGACAGATGTTGATCAGACTAGATAAGATGGATCCTTCTCCCCCTACTTTAAACTTAAAAATATCTCTAACACATTTTACCAACTAGAGTTGTCAGATTTTTAAGTATAAAACACTCCCTAGAAGTGTTAAGCT